CAACGATTTTCACTTGGAAATATAGATAGCAATATGTTTCCAAGTGAAAATAGCCCTTGCCCGGCATTACTGCACCAATAAAAAGTCAGCCCTATTAGATTAATTCTAATAACAAAAATCATCAAATATGGATGAATTAACCATTGGATTACCATCTAAAAAATACGAAGGAAGGAGAAGTTTCAGCCCAACAGCTTATAATACGTAAGCTTTTGATTGCTGTTGAAAAATATAATAAAAAAATACATAAAAATATTAATTGTTTAGTCAATACTTCAATTTTGAATTTTAATTAGTAGAAGGTCCAAACTTATACAGCCCTTTATGCAAATACGTAAGTGTTCTGAATAACATGAATTATCATATGAAAGCAATAAATCAACATTCAAATACTATTGCTTAAAAACAAGGTCATAATATTAACCCATTGACGCAACTTATCTTGATAAAACTAACACCAAACCCAAGAAATTTAAATTAAACCAGAAATTTATAATATAATTGTCTAACTATTCATGTTTCCGTCAACCTCACCCGTTCCGTCGAAAGTAATAGATTTTAAAAATTCGCAAATATTATTACGTAAAATCGGAAATGATAATTGTTGATTGGAAAATTACATTCACATTTATCATCAAAAATCATTCTAATAAGACTTGTTAAAGTTATTAATATATAGTCCAAAATATCTTGAATTATAAAGATAATACTGATTATAAATTTTGATTATCACAAAATATAAATCACATAAGTATTATCTGATTACATAGTAATTTTGTATCACAATTGATGATAACGTATTTTGCGTTTTAATAAAATAAGATAAAAAACTGAAATGGTTCTCAGGGGGGAAATGAATATGATTGCATGCCAATTTAAATTAAACAATTTTTGAGTTTGCTAAAGTTAAAGTCCATAAAATAAATCGAATTTTTTTCGAAAATTTATGGAATAAAATATCAAAATATCTTACATAATGATTCTTATTTGGTCCTGTAATGAATTCTTAGATCGATTCTCGACTTTTTATATATGTATGTATATATATGGTATATATGTATGTATAATATGGGTTGTTGTAATAATTAACTTCCCGTAGGGCAAGTTATAGTAATCGCAAAAAAATCGAAAATGAAAATTTTTATATATCTTTACGTTTCAGAGGTTTCTGAACATTTTGGCATACCTTAGAAAAAATGGATGTATGGTGTGTGTGTGTGTGTGTGTGTGTGTGTATGTGTGTGTGTATGTATGTATGTATGTATGTGTGTGTATGTATGTGCGGATACAAATTTTCGTCGACGATTTCGGGAAACACGGATCAACCGATTTGAATAATTCAAAAGCATTCGATCCGTATTGATAAGGAGACGTGCTGATTAGTTTTTGGCAAAGGCAGGTCAAGCCGTTCCGAAGATACGGGCAAAAAGTTCCGAAAACGGTTAACTCAGTTTTTAAGAGAACGGAGCGTCCGATTTTAATAATCAAAAAACATTTATTTGTATTGACAAGATGAAGAATCGATACAACTTTCATGAAGGTAGGTCCAGCGGTTTCGGAGATATAGAGGAAAAAAAAGTAAAAAATGAGCCATTTGGCGGTCAAAAATGATCATTAGACATATGCACATCAAATTATAAGACATTTTGTAGAGATTTTAACAATAAGTATACATTTTGTAACATTCCTATCGGTTTCGTACCAAATACTTATGCGTTAGACAGCGACGCGGCGCTTACGCGCTTTATATTTTGTCCCTATGTAGTTAAGCAGTACGATTGCTTTGAAAAAAAGTTCAGATCTTCCACAATATGTCAAAATAAAGAAAAAAAAATTTTTTCAAAAAAAAAATATTTTTTCAAAAAAAAATTTTTAAAAAAAATTTTTTTTTTTTTAAAAAAAACTAATTTTTTGTCAATTTATAGTTCTCAAAAATCTTATTTTTTCAAAGTATTTTTTTTCAAAAATGTTAATCGTTTTAAAAAAAAATAATTTTTGGTACGGGAAGTTCCAGCAATTTGCCTTAAGGCACGATGCCCTAATTGCCTTAAGACAGAATTCCACTTACAGCTAGTTTGGATTAAAACTAGATCGTTTATCAGGATCTTGATGAATTTATTATTACAATTTTTTTAATATTGATGAACTTTTTCATTGATGCACCAGTGTCGGTGGGGGCTATTTTTATTTGGAAACATTTTCTATCTATATTTTTAAATAAAAATCGTTATCAATGCTATTGATATCAGACTGTCCAAGTCGGGTATCACATCCCGACAAAAATAATGAAAACAGAAAATGCAAATTTAAATTCAAAAATTGCGCAACATCGATGTTGTTCCAAGACTTCGAAAAAAAATATGTTTTGATTAAGATTATCTTGATATTCAAAAACTTTCATTAATAATCTATTTTTTTCAGAATATAGGAAGCAATAATATATACTACTGAGATTACTAAAAAATCAAAATTTAATAATCTCATTGTAAATTTAATTTAAATCTTTTGGTGAAATGATTTTCAACTATCTTTTAATTAAACTATGCATATATTGTATAAATATAAGAATTTATTTAAACCCGGACTTCAATGAAGTAAAATTATATCCTCTATTATCTCAATGTTAAAATTTTCACGTATTTATTTCATAACACCAGAACCAAAAATAATAATAACAGATAAATCAAACGAATTGATTCAATAGATCTGATCAGATTCAAATTCCGGGATTCTAATTGTATAAGTATTATAATAAGACTGTTAATTTCAATATATTTAAATATTATGGTCTAATTATTATTGGTG